TTCATGACTCGTCGATCACATATGATTTTGATTCAGGAATTCCGTCAGCTAGTTTGTTATGACCTGTAGCTTAGGAAAATTTTCATTTGTTAAAGTCTTTAGCTGAAGACATTTGTCAGTTCATCAGAGTCTTCCCATTAAGAATTTTGTGTTTGTAATGCAGCATTAAGCGTAAGAATTTTGTCTGTTTGTTAGAGCATTCAGTTCAGGAATTTTTATAGTTTATCAAGGCCAAGGCATAAGAATTTTGGCAGTATTTTCGGCCCTCAGCTTAGGAAATTCTTATTTTGCTCGAGGTTATACCTAGTTCCAAGATTTGAAACCAATCAGATTTTCTTCAAAATTAATCCAACTATTAAAAAAGCTTTGATTGCATCAAATTTAATTCATTGAGGCCGTTGACAGAAAACATTTTGATGTTGCACCGCTGGTAGCATGGGGTGAGAAAAGTGTGCTTTCTTACGATTACGTAATTTCCGTAATGCTCAATTAACATCAACACATGAATCATTCCAACACTCACCAAATCGATATTTTTCTTCCAAAAGTTTGCTCGGTCCAAACATTTTCAGAAGCAAGCATCGATGTTTTTAACCAGTTTACGCGCATTCATTTCATTAAACTTTGAACTGAACACGAGCCCTGTAGCGCGGAAAATATTTTGACACAAGTTTGCAGGCTACCTGGCTAGGTTTAGTGTCACCAATCATATCAAGAGCAACCTTCAAAGACGTGCCACAATATCGCCTGTTGCAACCCCACTCGCCTTTCAAATCCTCAACAATGGAGCCACACAGTCAGGATTATATTAAATACTGTGGGGCCACTGACCTCGGCGGCTTTTGTGAATCATAGCAACTTGATGAAGGTGAAAACGAAAGTAAATCTGGGCCTATACTTTCAAAAAAAGTTAAGAGATCGTAAGTTTATCTGCCAATCATTGACGGCCTTTCAAGCAAAATCCTTCAGTCATAGACAAGAAAATGGAGCGTAAGTACTTATGTTCACTTAGCGAGTTTTTAAAGTATGGCCTCACTGATCTGTAAATCACGTTAAAGGAAGTGCAACTGGAAGTTGAACCTCAAAATTGAACGATGGTCTAAAGTAAAACTTAGGCAGCACGGCACTACCAATCGCGTGGGGTGGGTAAGGTTAATTCTCCTCGGCAGCTTGAAATTTCTGAGTGAACTGCCAGACCATGACTATTTTTTAACACTGAACACTTACTGATTTAAAATGTGCCTCTGGCTAGAAACAATATCAAAAGACGGAACATTAATCCAGTACGAAAACATTAAAAATTGGTATATATATTACATATTAGCTTTGGACGGCAGTGGCTTGAACATCTATTGCTTCATGTTTCAGTAGTCATGTTAATTTGCTTATCGCTCTAAGGAAATGTTCCCCGAACCTTTTTTATTATTCTAATTTAGGTCATTGCCAATTTTAATCAGAAGTGTATTTTCCGGCCTCACTTGTCCTTAGCCCGCACAACCCTAATCTGGTCGAATTAAATATCGTGTTGTTGTTGTTGTTGCTACACAAGATACGTTAGTGAATCGCATCCACGACATCAAATAACATGAGACGTGAGGGCACGGCATCAAATAGTAAAAATAAAAATTATGTGGCACGTTCAAAAACAAATTAAACTACAGCAGACTGACAATTACACTCCATCTAAAATATCTATCTGAAAAAATGCACTTACATTTATCACTGAATTGAACCAGAACACTTGGCTCCTTAAGTGAACGTCGCGCTCGAATATATATAGCGTAAATTTTGATTTAGTGGATCCAACAAAGATTGTGATAATTGCGTAATTACAAAAATTGCCAGACTGGCATCAATAATTGCTAGTAATTTAATTCTTGGACAAGCATCAAAGTAACCTTATTGGATATTATGCAACGAACAGAAGCATAAAGACTTCTCACTCGTTCATGTATCCGGCATACTGGACCCTAAGCAGTCACAAGATTTTTTTTCTTTACAATTGACAGTTTGTTGTCTTGTTCCGCATTTCGGCAATTAGCTCTAAAAAATTAAAAATGAATCGCAAGACGTGCTTGTCTTAAGAAAATATCTTCCGTTCCTTACGCCTTTGTCACTTGCCATGTCTCAGCACTCCAGTATAATGGGACGAGCCTCGTACTATTGTGAACCACTGCTTAATGATGATTATATGCATAATCAGACACTAAACTTGTTGATATCGCGTCTGAGTAATTCCTTGTATTCATAAAAGACTTCATATTCCTCTGTAAATCACTAGTATCCGATTTAAAAGTCAGCCTTTAGAAATAGCGTCAAAAAAAGCACCAAAATGTGCACCTTGCATCCATTTTTTGCAGCTCCGGTCCCTACAGCAGAAGCTATGGTGGGAAGACTTAGTCCCTCCAGCAGTGAGCAAGATTCCTTCTCATTTTTTCCGTGATGAGCGAGCAAAAATCTGCAGGAGCTCTCAGCAAAGCAAAAGCTTCTTCGTTCTCACTCACCAATCTTTCCGTTCACTCTTTCATTTTCTCACGGATCGACTTCCTTGAAGAAAAGATTTCCTAAAACTCAACAGTTGAGAATATTCTGGCAGAAGATCAAGGCTGTGATGAAGGCTGGTATCACGTGTGTCATGCCATGATACGGAGTTCACTGATGCAGGCTGGTATGGTGTATGGTGTATGATGTGTGTCATGCCGTGATGCGGAGTTCACTGATGCAGGCTGGTATGGTGTATGGTGTATGATGTGTGTGATGCCGTGATGCGGAGTTCACTGATGCAGGCTGGCCTGGTGTATAATGTGTGTCATGCCGTGATGCGGAGTTCACTGATGCAGGCTGGCCTGGTGTATGATGTGTGTGATGCCGTGATGCGGAGTTCACTGATGCAGGCTGGCCTGGTGTATGATGTGTGTCATGCCGTGATACGAACTTGCGGCAGCTGTGATCCCTCGAAATATGTTCACTACTCGTGAATTCTAATTCATTTAGAGATTCTTGATGATTTTTAAAGCCGTCCAAAATTGGAGAAATTATATTTTTGCATATTTTTATTTGGCGTCATTGATAATTAGGAGCCGGTGGTTAAAGAAACTATTGACTTGAAAATTAGTTTTTTATTGATGACAACAGTGTTTTGTTATTTCAATTCCATACTTATTTGCTACGAAATAATGAGCCTGGGGATATTACTGTGATTGAAAACCAAAACTACTTATATAAAACGTATAAACATGTATACACATTCTATACATAGACTGATGACAAGCAATGAATATTTTTGAGATATATGCTATGGAAAGTCAATTTAATATTTAATTCTTTTATTACTTACTTTTATCTGCATTTAAAAATTCCCATTAATATAAAAGTCATTTAGATTTTTTCACGAATTTTCTTCAACACACCCGTCGACATTTTTTCAATACATTTTCTTTCTGTTTCGTTCTTCGCATTTTTAAACCTTCAATAAATCTTCAACTGCACCCCAACTCCAATGTTCTATACCACACCCCATCTACCAAATCCTCCTCTACACTCAATCCCCCTAATCCCCCACCCCCTGCATCACCCCCTGCATCACCCCCTGCATCACCCCCTGCATCACCCCTGCATCACCCCCTGCATCACCCTCGTCGTGATGCGGTCTGGTGACGCAGCGTCGCTAAGAGATGAAGGCTCACGCGACGCATGACTGACGTAGGACGCTGATGGCGGTGCCTCCCCAAGCCTGACCATCACAAAACAAATGGCGTGGTCATTTGTCTGGCTAGGATATTACCCGTGTTGTTCGGGAAAAAGCTACATTTATATACTCGGAATAAATTTCAGTTCGCAAGGTTTGCGTCGGAAATGTAGATATTTCGATAATATACTTTATTACTTTTCTAAATCTTTATATTTTATAACTTTAGAAAAGTTTACACTATATATTCTAGACCCCTGAACTTATTCTTTTCAATGTATGTGAAACGGATGAAAAAATAGCTTCTAATTTTAATATTATATATTCCGATCAGTAAGTTGACATTTTTTCTATTCTAGCTTGACAGCTAAATATTGAATTTTAGTCTTAAAGCTGTCACTCTTTTCTGCGCTAAGGGATTACATGCAGTGACGAGACACATCATTTCTGCCTAATAATAAATTAAATAAAAATTCGAAATTATCGTCAATTGCTCACTGACTGCCAACAGCTGGACGGACATTGCATTTTATATGGCGATCGTATGCAATTTTGGTGTACATAATTCCTTCCCAGTTGCCGATATGTCCCCTCGCGCGCTTGCCAACACAAAATGCGAACTTTTCACAGCTGATGTCGTGCAGATGATGAACTGGAAAGCTCCACCGCAGAGAAGCCGCAATAATTATAGTTTATAAAACCTATCTGTGGATATCTGGAGCTTACGTTCACTGATTGATGCATTTATATCCTCTTACCTGTCGATATAAAAGCCCAATGCAAAGCCATTAATTAAGGGAGATTAAATGCGGTCATCTGCATATGAGGTGAACGGAGCTGCAAGCAACTGTTGCCGCTTATTACTCAGGACTTTGCTCGGCTCACTCCGACATCAAGAGTTTGCCTGCGGAATCACGAGCGTCAAATTAAACTTTGAATCTCCGCAAGCCTTTCCCAGAGCTCAGCGCCATTACTTTGCGATGAATCAGGATTGTATTGCAACTTTCACTAAGCTAACCATTTTATATTCGTTTTGCAATTAGCGCCGCTAGTGATAAAGTCTGTGTGGCTGACGCTCGTTATCGTGGAAGGGTGGAACGTAACTTAACTATTTCTTGGTGCTGGATTCCAGTGAATAATTGATGCTGAATAATATCTCCTAGCCGCTGTCTTTCACGCTTTTAACACCAACAAACTTCAGGAGGATGAAAAATATTTATTTATCCTTGGTGAATTGCTATATTGTTTACATTTTCATCTTGTCCATTTTTTTCGTGCACTCAATTAACCCAATGTGATAATCCATGCTCAGGGAGAAGGCTGGTCGGTGGTCGAAGGTGGTGGCTCAGAGCGGCGTCTGATGGTGGGGGCGGCGGTGGTGAGCGGCGTGATGGCGGCGGCGGTGGTGGCCGCCGCTGGCCTCCTGCTGCTGCGCCGCCACGCCGCCCAGCGACTCAAGCTCCGGGGCCTCAACCGCGACTCGGAGGCTAGTAAAGACTACCAGGCGAGTGGTGACTAGCAGGCGAGTGGTGACTAGCAGGCGAGTGGTGACTCCGAGGCTAGTAAAGACTACCAGGCGAGTGGTGACTACCAGGCGAGTGGTGACTAGCAGGCGAGTGGTGACTAGCAGGCGAGTGGTGACTACCAGGCGGGTGGTGACTAGCAGGCGAGTGGTGACTACCAGGCGAGTGATGACTAGCAGGCGAGTGGTGACTAGCAGGCGAGTGGTGACTAGCAGGCGAGTGGTGACTAGCAGGCGAGTGGTGATTACGTTGCAAAAACGTGGGTCACTATTTATACGACCTATAGGTTTTCTGAGTGCAATACAGTTATCTTTTAAGACAAATTGCTATTTACGATCATTATTATAGTGACTGAGAAAAGTGTGTCGTGTTCCAAATTTGCACATGGTCAACCACACCTGACGTTAAGTATATTTAAATTGTATCTTGATTCATTTTAGTGCCGTTAAAATTTCAAAATTATATCACAATATTTTTGATGGCAGGCATGACCGTTAAATTTATCCGTTAAATTCGAATCTTGCATCTTAATTTTATTGATGGCGAGCAGCACCGTTAAATTTATCCGTTAAATTAGAATCTTGCATCTTAATTGTGTTGCTGGCGGCAGCACCGTTAAATTTAGCCGTTAAATTTCAATATTATATATTAATTTTGTTGCTGGCGGGCAGGACTTGTGCCGTGCCCGCATGGCAGCCAAGAACAAGTCTGTGCACGGTGAGAAGGATGGTGCAGGCAACCTGCCTGGCACGCATGGTACCGCCAAGCCCAGGATCGCCAGCCTCTCCAAGGAGTCCGACAACGGCGGCAACTCCCCCGGGTCGCGGTCCTCGACTTCGTCTTGGTGAGAAACTGATCATCACAAACTCTTTTCAGATTACGTGTATATAATCATAGATTATTATGAATATGCTCTGCCGGCTCGACTTCGTCTTGGTGAGAAACTGACTAACATCACATTCGTTTCAGATTTCGTGTATATAATCATAGATTATTTTGAATATGCTCTGCCGGCTCTACTTCGTCTTGATGAGAAACTCACCAACATCACAAACTCTCTTCAGATTATGTGTTGATAATCACAAATAATTTTGTACGTGCTCTCGGAATTAGTTGTTTAACAACATACGAATTTTAAATCACGAGCGAGAAAAATTTCATCACAGGGCGAACTCAGAGAATTCAGACCAAAATCAAATTCAGTTTCGACTACATCATTATAATTTTTTGACACACAACTGCGTGTTTTACGTATTTTTGACCATATGTTTTTATTTCTACATTATTTCGCCGTAATTCTTCTATATAAATGAAGTATTCTAGTAATATCATAGGCTTAACAAATCTAAGGCTCCACACGTTTTCCTGAGCAGAGACTGTATTGAAAGCTCACTATTACGTTCAGCATCTGTTATTGTGATCACAAGTGGTATGCACATCTGTCGAGCACAACGACTGATTGGGTGCGTACGCATGTACACCTGCTCACTTGTTGCAGTCACTGCTGCGCTCTCGCAGTTGTCTGGTGTTGTTCTTGTGGTGTTGTTAAATAACGTTGAATCAACGTTCATTAAACGTTAATTGAATTTAACAACGTTTGTTTAAACGTGCATTCAATGTTAGAGCTCATGTGGGCGGTCCCTCGCTACAAGTCACCTGTGTATAAGACGTCTAGAACTTTCTGAAATTTATTATTTTTTGCGAGTATCGTTGATATGTAATAAATATTGGAATATTGAAACTAGATTAACTTTTTAAACTCGTACTTGAAATATACAAACAGATTAATCATTCTATACACTTTAAATGGCTTTATTGGAGTGTTTTAGTTAATTATTTGCAGTAACATGGAACTATTTGCTGTATGTGCTATGTGCAAGAATTAGGTATTATTCTAATTAATTACATTGAAAATTGCGCTTTGGAAACTTCGTAGTTGCGCATAGGAAAGTTCATAATTGCGCATAGGAAACTTCATAATTTTACAAGCATAGGAAACTTCATAGTTGCGCATAGGAAACTTTATAATTTTGCAAGCATAGGAAACTTTATAGATTTCATGATGAAGAGTCGCGTGAAAAAAATCCTGCCCCCAGACGACATCCGCGTCACCGATTCTTGGATGATCCCATGGTGAGGCCGTGCGTAATTATTTAGCAACATTAATAAGGAACTGTGCTGAGCTTCTGAAATATAAAGCTGCCGTTGAAGGAGAGTGTTTTATGGACGCTCACAAGTATTTTAGACGAGTTAGGTAAACTTAACAAAAAGTTTTATGTAAGCCTGCGGAAATTACAGGCTATCTTGGTTTATTAATTTTTGAGAAAGTTAAAGAAATTCCAAAAAATTTTACCCTGTTCACTGAGCAAAATATTTTTGCCTCACATTTGTGCATCACTTTTTTCTGCATTCAAATTTTTATATATGTTTTGCCTCTTTAATCTCACACATGTCAGCAAACTGTTTACTTTATAAATTTCCTTAATTGAGCTATTAAAATGAGATCTTGAGTCATGGATTAGGACTACTCGTGAAATATCCGCCTCATCATCGATTATGATGAACAAGTGAGGTTTAGAGCGCGGAACCTCTTCAACGTCTTCCACTTGGGGAATAAAAGAAAAGGAATTAAATATAAAGAAAATCTCTTGGCATGAGAAAAATAGGATTACACCATGAGAACATCTCAGGAAGTAGTAGAAGTTGTTTTAGACCATGAGAACATGTCAGGAAGTAGTAGAAGTTGTTTTAGACCATGAGAACATCTCAGGAAGTAGTAGAAGTTGTTCTAGACCATGAAAACATTGCTGGGAATAGAATTATTTTGATCAGACCATGAGAACATCTCTGATAAAGAGAAAAGCAATGCATATTAATGCCACGCGGTCATTTATAGGAGAGGAGGCTTGATTTTCTTGTATTATTTTAAAAGTTGCAGTAATTTATTTTTACCCTTCAGAAATTCACACACATTTCTGTCCCATAATAAACACGCGGTATAAACAAACGAGGAAAGTTGGAAGAGATTGTTCACACATTGTGTATATCATCCATGTTTTGAATATTTTTCGTTCCTTTCTGTATATTGTCACTCACACTTCATTTTTACCCTTAGAAGCTTAAGGATGTATGCGGGTAAACAGTCTGATAATTTTTTTGTTGTAAATTTTCAGCACTGCAATATAACTGAGTTCAACGGTATAATCAACTTCAAGGCTTTTAAATCCAATCATCATGGCGTTGACTGCGATGATATGAGTTGAATTGTTCAGTTTGCTTCCCATTTCGGTTGATGGTCATGTATGTTTTTCTTCCAAAGTTAGTTTCACTAACACATGATTGTGCTAGATAATTTTTTTATTCCTTTAGTCGAAAGATCAAAGATTTAATATACTTTTTCCTGCATCCATTGACAAAGGCAAAAAGTGAATATTTATTCTACATTTTAATTTCAAATTGTAAATTAATTACGCCAGGAAATATTCCAATATTTCACGAGTGAAACAATCTGTTTTGCAACCTCTTTGTTTGATATATTATTCTAAGGCAATAAAATCTGTATTTCATTTAAGATTAGAAGAGTTTCCCCGTGCTACTTTTACAGCGCTCTTGTTTACTCGCTTAAATAAAGCGAAGCCTTGCTGGTAAAGATGAAATGAATCCGGTCTGTCAATTACAGTCGAGTGATGTTTTTTTACTAGGGAGAGTTGATAGGAGACCGACAACTAGTATCCTATTCTAGTTAAAGCTGAGCAAGAGCTCCAATTTGACGACATAGAAGCAATCCTTTTTGGTGTTGATTGGATAACTAATTCATTTAATTATTCTGACTGTTATCGCGAAATTTTGGAAATTTTATGCAAGATTGTATTTAAATTCTGAGAAGATATATTACCGTCGCTGGTGAAGATGACAATCATTTACAACTCTGCTCGATAATTAGATTTGAACCTCAATTGACGCTTAATTTTAGCGTGCTCATTGTTAATCAGTTTCAATAAATGGATTTGGTTTAAATACAGTCTTGCTTGAAGTTGTGGAAATCACGCGCCAAAACATTAAACTGTGTTCAAAAATTGTAGTGTATTTTTATAAATTTATCAATGGCAAGTGCCGAAGTTTATTATTTCAAATTTCAGATTTAGTGTTCATATTTCCCTAAAAATAGTTGTAAAAAATACTAAGACTAAGAACGGTTGCGCTCAGTCGAATTACGAATGTTTGGAAGGGCTGCGTTCAGTTGACATGCACTTTTTTGAAGTTTTGTTCGCTACTTCCTCAGGTATTTGCCTCGTGACTTGTCAAGCTACCATAACGAGAATTGCTTCTTTTTACGGGCTACCACAACAATAATTACTTCTCTTCACGGCTCACCATAACAAGACTTGCTTCTTCTTACGGTCTACCATAACAGGACTTGCTTCTTTTTTACGGTCTACTATAACAACTATAACAAGACTTGCTTCTTCTTACCGGCTACCATAACAATATTTACTTCTATTTACGTGTCACCATAACAAGAATTGCTTCTTTTTACCGGTCCCCATAACAAGATTTGCTTGTTAAACTCCGGGCTCAACTTTATCGTATTAATTAGGTCTTCCCGCTGGATGCCTACATAATACCTTTTAACTGATGTTGCTTGAGCGACTAAGAATATAGTAAAAATTACTTTATTTTTTTTATTTTCAAGGCTACTAAAATATTTTATGATGGTCCTTACTTAAGATTCTGCGCATCAAATTTAAGACAATTTTTTTCTCAGGAGTGAGGAACCGGTGGCTCCAAACATGGACATTTCCACGGGTCACATGGTCCTGGTGAGGATTAACGTTCAACTTTGTATTTTTTCTTACCAGTTAATGAAGATTTTTTTGGTTAAACTAAAACAGAAAAATTCTGGAAGCCTCATTTTAGTTATTAGTTCCATATTAAACGATTTATTATTCTCCGAAGTATCAGTTTTATTGGAGTTTTTAATATGCAACATCTACTTTATTTCCACAGCTATTTATTTATTTATTGTTGAGTGAACCTCACCGCATTGTTGGTGATTTTTCTAGATATTATAATTTCCAATTTTCATTTTAGCGATTAGTTATTTATAATTTGTTTTTTTTAACGATAATTTAATTTACTAAAATACCCTGTCATCTACTATTGTTGATATCACGTAGAAATAAATAACCTTATTTACGTTATCCCAAATTTTTATGGAGTTCCTAAGTGTACATTGCCGTGGCCCACAGTCCTACATGGAAGACCACCTTCAGAACAAGTCTCGTCTCGACCAGGAGTGGGTTGCTCTCTGCGCTTACGAAGCCGAACCCAGTGCCACCATGGTCGCCAAGAAGGTAAACTTTAACTCTTGGTCACTATGAATAAGGAAATAAGGAAAATGCTGTTTCTATGAACAAAGAAATAACTGCATGAAAAAAGGACTCATTTTTTACTGTTTAATCCGTGGAAAACTGATGCACTGCAATAATTGTTATTTCACTAGAAATGTCACATAATAGTAAAGTCTATTTTTGTATAGGCAAAAATATTTACGTTCGAAAAAATTAGAAAATTGAGTAATTGAAGCTACCGTCGCGCAATTTTTTTAATTGTCCACCTCGGTGGAAAGAGTAAATAGAATGTTCGTTTCAAACTCCGTATACTTTATGATGTAACTTTGCTCATTGAGTTTTGCTCGAATAATGTCTTTTTACTGTGATAAATTACTGCTCTATTAGTTCGAACCAAATAGTTCATTTTATATGTTACTAAACTTGTATGAAAATACCTAACTTATAAATCATATAAATGAACCCTTTTCACGAATTCGTGGCTGAAAATTACTGATTATGACGGAACGCTGATTTACACTAATGAAACGAGTGTGGTTACCTTGCTCATCTCCCTCGGTTTTGCAGCCTACGAATCAAAAGAAGAACCGCTACCCCGCCGTGCTGCCCTACGACCACAACCGCGTGCACCTCAACCAGCAAGCCAACATCTCGGGCTGTGACTACATCAACGCCTCCTCCATCGTTAGTGGCAACTTACTCTACGATTCGTGTCGTAACCTAATGGACATACACTTCCTTTCGTAACCTAATGAACATACACTTCCTGTCGTAACCTAATGAACATACACTTCCTGTTGTAACCTAGTGAACATACACTTCCTGTCGTAACCTAATGAACATACACTTCCTGTCGGAACCTAGTGAACATACACTTCCTGTCGGAACCTAATGCACATACACTTCCTGTCGGAACCTAGTGAACACCATACACTTCCTGTCGTAACCAAGTGAACATACACTTCCTGTCGTAACCTAATTATTCGATTACTGTCGAAACTTACTAAACATTCAGTGCCTGCTGTAACCTCTCTGATTCAATCCAACTATTTGTATGCCATAAAATCAATAATCTATATTGATGTCACTCGTTTCCGCGAATCGCCAATTCACGAGAAATATAAAGGAAATAAAATTCTACGAAAACGTCTCAATCTTTATAGAAAACGTTTCTGATTCCAGGTTCAGCGTCATCGTAATAAGATATGATCAATTTTGGGAGAATTTTCTCTGCGTTAAATCTATAACTATATTCTGTACACACGGTTGTGCAAAAAATATATCAATAGATATTTGATTAATTCGATCATAATATTATTGTTACAAGTTTACATTTCCATTCTAATTTCTTATAAACATACAACTTTGTTGAGCGTAGCTTTTTCCTATCTCAGCTAATTTTCATTGCCTTTTTAGCGCATTTTCTCATTTATGGAAAAAAAGGCGCAATTGCGCTCGTCATGTCCGTCCGTCTGTCCGTCCGTCCGTGACTTCACGTTTTCGTCGATGAGAAAATGCGCTCTCTGTCACTCACTGCAGTGAGTACTGAGTTATATTTTTGAACATATACTCCGTATGTTCTGTTCACTCGAGTTGTGTGTTCTCATGGACACTTGCTCTCGCGCGTGTGCCAGCAACATATTTTTTCAACATATTATACGGAGGATATCATCTTAATAGGCCTCTATTTTTCGGCACACGTAGGATACCGTTTATATTTATTATGTGTATGTATATGTATGAATATGCATGTATGATCGTATATATATTTTTTTCAATTTAATGTGGAGCTTTTCCTCGAGCCATCGGGGTAACCTCTTTTCTTCTACAAATAAATAAATAAAAATTGTGACACAGACGGACCACGACCCGCGCAACCCTGCCTACATCGCCACCCAGGGCCCACTGGCCACAACCACGGCCGACTTCTGGCAGCTGGTCTGGGAACAAGGCAGCGTCGTCATCGTCATGCTCACCAAACTCAACGAGAACGGCCACACGCTCTGCCACCACTACTGGCCGCAGGAGGGCAGCCAGCTCTACCACATCTACGAGGTAGTGTATCAGCTCTACCACATCTACGAGGTAGTGTGCAGCCAGCTCTACCACATCTACGAGGTAGTGTGCAGTCAGCTCTACCACATCTACGAGGTAGTGTGCAGTCAGCTTTACCACATCTACGAGGTAGTGTGCAGTCAGCTCTACCACATCTACGTGGTAGTGTAGGAGGGCAGTCAGCTCTACCACATCTACGAGGTAGTGTGCAGTCAGCTCTACCACGTCTACGAGGTAGTGTGCAGTCAGCTCCACCACATCTACGAGTTAGTGTAGGAGGGTAGTCAGCTTTACCACATCTACGAGGTAGTGTCTACCCACCTGACATTCCATATAAACCAACCACCTATCCAAACCAACGATTATTTGTCCAACCCACCTGGAAAATAGCGTTGATCAAACGTTGATTCTTTGAAATCGACCTTCTAATCAAATTAGTTGCATCATCATTTGCCTGTAGGGCATAGGCTTGGATTATCAATAGGGTTACAATGAAGTTATTCATCCTTTTACCATCAATCATGACTAATCATGTTTGTAATTCAAATTCATTTCCTATGAAATCTTGTTCCTTTCTGATTGAAATCTGATGCAAGGTCAGATTCGATTCTTCTGCTTACCTTGACATATGATGTTTAATTTATTCAAGGTATATTTCTCTATTATAGATTCTCATGTCACATTAGTGTATCAGATCAGATTTTATCGTCATTCTCGCAGTTCCAGTTGTCACCAGATGTCGTTAACACCATCGTACAATTTGTTCATACCACCTCGATTGTTCAGGTGCACCTGGTCTCATACCATTTGTTCATACCACCTTGATTGTTCAGGTGCCCCTAGTCTCATACCATTTGTTCATACCACCTCAACTGTTCAGGTGAACCTGGTCTCATACCAGTTGTTCATACCACCTCAACTGTTCAGGTGCCCCTGGTCTCATACCAGTTGTTCATACCACCCCAACTGTTCAGGTGCCCCTGGTCTCATACCAGTTGTTCATACCACCTCAACTGTTCAGGTGCACCTGGTCTCATACCATTTGTTCATACCACCTCAACTGTTCAGGTGCACCTAGTCTCATACCATTTGTTCATACCACCTCAACTGTTCAGGTGAATCCTGGTCTCATACCAGTTGTTCATACCACCTCAACTGTTCAGGTGCCCCTGATCTCATACCAGTTGTTCATACCACCCCAACTGTTCAGGTACCCCTGGTCTCATACCAGTTGTTCATACCACCCCAACTGTTCAGGTGCCCCTGGTCTCATACCAGTTGTTCATACCACCTCAACTGTTTAGGTGCCCCTGAGTCTATACTTTCAAAAAAGTTAAGAGATCGTAAGTTCATCAGCCAATCATTGACGACCTTCCAAGCAAAATCCACCAATCATAGACAAGAAAATAGAGCGTAAGTACTTACGTTCGCTTAGCGAATTTTGGAAGTATAGGCCCTGGTCTCGTACCAGTTGTTTATACAACCTTGATTGTTCAGGTGCACCTTGTCTCGCACCATTTGTTCATACCACCCCAACTGTTCAGGTGCACCTGGTCTCATACCACTTGTTCATACCACCTCAATTGTTCAGGTGCCCCTGGTCTCATACCACTTATTCATACCACCTCAATTGTTCAGGTGCCCCTGGTCTCATACCACTTGTTCATACCACCTCAACTGCTCAGGTGCACCTAGTCACATACCACTTATTCATACCACCTCAACTGTTCAGGTGCCCCTGGTCTCATACCACTTATTCATACCACCCCAACTGTTCAGGTGCCCCTAGTCTCATACCATTTATTCATACCACCCCAACTGTTCAGGTTCACCTGGTCTCGGAACACATCTGGTGCGACGACTACCTCGTCAGGAGCTTCTACCTGAAGAACACTCGCACCGGAGAGACCCGCACCGTCACGCAATTCCACTTCCTCTCCTGGCCTGACACCGCCATCCCCGGCTCAACCAAAGCGCTGCTCGAGTTCCGGCGGTGCGTATCCGTATTTTGCTCCTGAAAATTAATTAAACGGAAGATAAAGTCTGGTTTCTGTATTAACGATCGGCCGACGTCAGTTGCATGCGTATTATTCGCAGAATGAACGAAATAGCTTGATTTGGGAGTGAAAAATAAGATTTTTTCTTACATGTATTATTATTTTTCCTTTTTTTATATTTGTTGAAATAAACAGTATTGATTGTCAGGAGATCAGTTGAAGGTACTTTGAGAAAAAATATTATTAATTTCTTACGAAAAGGTTAAATTTGTATATTGCAAGTTAAGCTTTTTGTAATTTTACGCACCTGGCTAATTTAGAGCTAAGCTCGAATTGTTCAGTTCAGCTCAAAAGAATAATTAGGAATGAGAACAACTAACTTAATTGCCACTACAACGTCAACTGCAATGCCATTGTGGGAAGAGATGCAAGTGCTAAAAATGCCGTCAAAAAGACATCAGTTCTTCCAGCGACTTCAAAGCCAAGTTTGTCCCGCTCTCGGCCATCATTTTCGTGATTCTTGCAATTTTTATTGATATTTAATTGCATAGTCACAAAAGTGATGGCGGAGAGATGGTACAGTCATCCGTTCCAGTCCCGCAGTCGCGGATCAAGTCTCGGCAGACTCGAGGAGCAAGGTTCACTCTTCGACCAACGGCGACGGGAGGAAAAGTCTTTTGTTGATGGATCCAATATTCTGAAAATTTTATGATGGCGCTGCTTTTACCATCTTGTTTTTTCGTAATTGAGTCTAAAATATCCCTGATACATTCTACTGCAAAGTGGATTTAATTTTATGCAAGACACGAGCTGCTAGCATGAATGAAATTGAAATTATAAATTAAGTGAAACAGGAAGACTTTCTTTTCCACATATATTCAATTTTTTTCATTTTTTGGAAAGCCGTGCGCAGCGTCATTAGAAAGTCGTCACGCAGCAAAATATAATAAAAAGCAGCTGTAAAGAAATAACCAAATAACCATCTTGGAAACTTTTTCATCTGGAGCGGCTCCTCGCAACTCACGGACATCGCTAGTCAAAATCTAATTTTGAACCAACAGCAATCAGAATTCTAAAAGCACGTAAATATTTTTAATACTTCAAGACTTCGGGAATGAAGAAATTACACCTCCCAGCCTGAACGCAAGTGGAGTTTTGTTGCACAGAGATAACCGTACAGGAGAATATTATATTATTATATAATAACTCTCTCTATGTCTATGTCTTTTTTACTTTTGCCTTGATACTGTCGCATACTTGCAAAAATAACGATGAAAAATAATAAGAAAAAATTATGCTCCATTGTCTGAATGTGCACTTGTTATTAAATGTCAAATTTTTATTAGAAACAGCATCGATCAATTAATTTCTCACGTTTTACGTCATTAAATAATATCCGAGCTATCATTCATATATTGAGGCGGAATTAATTGCAATATTTGATATTGATTATTTTCCATGGCTTCCTCCCCTACAGGAAAGTGAACAAGTCGTACCGTGGTCGCTCCTGCCCCATCATCGTACACTGCAGGTACGCATTTGAACCACGCGAAATATAAAATTTTGTGTGCTTTAGATGTTATATGTAATTATAAAATTCCTCGTTTAACAAGAAAAATTATTAGAATATCTGCTATAATTTTCGGTATATTTAATATGATGAAATGCATAAATTTTAGATCTAATTATTCATTACTATGAGTTTTCCAGCGAGCATATGTTCATAGCTACCAAATTGTTCTTGTTCTAATATATGGCCACCTGCGTTGTATTCAATCATCCAACGAAACGATTAATGGAGAAAATAATCTAGTCCACTAGTTCAGAACCAGTGTTCTTGTGTTATACCGACACAGAAAAAAAAACCCTTATGTACATTTTATTTTCGCTTTCTTATATTTTCCCATCGCACACTTCTTTTATTATTGTACTGACAAGTTCAATGTTACACTTCTTTACTAATAACCGACTGAAAAATTAAATAATTTATTATATTAATATTCAAAATATGTGACGACTTGATACCTTTTTCAGTGACTGAATCTGACGGTTTGGAACATTCATTCTCATCGACATGTTGCTATAACAATAATGTTATGAAAAATTGTTCCATAGAACAATTGAATACTGTATTATATGAATATTCTAAATGTGTGACGCCTCAATGACTTTTTTAGTGACGGAATCGGACGGTCTGGCACATACATCCTCATCGACATGGTGCTCAACCGCATGGCCAAAGGAGCCAAAGAAATCGACATAGCGGCCACGCTTGAGCACATCCGTGACCAGCGAGCCAACATGGTTACTACGAAGCTTCAGTTCGAGTTCGTTCTCATGGCTGTAGCTGAGGAAGTCCACGCCATCTTGAAAGCTTTGCCACAGTAAAATCAACGCAACGATTTTATTTTCCACGTTACACTGATCAAACTACAGAATACTTTCTCGTTACGTTATGTATGTAGCAGGGCCGAATTTACTGTGCTGCCTATCCAATAGAGCAGCCTATCAAAGTTTTTTTTTACAATCTGGCTCGATTTACTATGATAGAATATGTGCTTCGAATATCTTTTTTTAATTTTTTTTCGTTCTGATATTGTATTTCAGTGGAAGCCAAGAAAGAATTAAATCTGAATTTTAATAACTGGTAAGTCAGTTGTATACTGCTTGCCCGCTAAAAAATCGCACATTTTTTACGAAATTCCATTACATTCGAAAATTACCGCGCAAAACTATTTGCTGGTTTATAAAATCCAATTAAATATTACAGTCGCACAAAAGTCAATCCAACACTGTGCACAATATTTAATTTTGTTTTATTTGTAATCTGCGAGTATTTTTCTATACTTAAAAGTCTGCTTAAATAATCCATTTACTGTACGCAATTCTCTCCCTACTATCATGCTCCGAATGCTTCATGCATGCACAATTAATTTGGCGTGTATGCAAACTCGTTTGCGTTTTCATCATAAAATCGTTTTTTCTAATGATCACGTTCAAAATTTTGTCTTTATTCTCACGCACCTCCGTTCATAGCCAATCGAAGGATTCATTCATATTTTATCTGCTGGTGATTTTTTACTGACCGATGGCAGTGAATTTCCATTGCCTTTTGTATAGGTCATTTTCAATACAACTTTCACATCCTGCCAGCAGGTGCACTTCTCTTCCTATGTTACGTAATCAAGTGACTTTTACAGTTAACTTTCTTATCGATCGGCCTTTATATTCATAAACCAAAAGATTTCCATTTGAATAATTTTATACATCACTCAAAGAGTATGACTTCACCACAGTCATCGAGTTTCAAACTTTTCCTTAATTTCTGGTTAAATTTCTCCCCTTTTAAGATTGGCAAAAAGATTAAAATTATTTCTGAATTTCAGCGAAACAGGTACTGTATTCTCTTAATGAGCCGCTTGGGCCAAGATTCATCAGCTGTGCGATCCGCATGGATATGGTCATATCAGCAGGTAGATCAGAAGGGTTCATTTTCACACTCTCCTTCTGAAGTTTCACTCACTGTGAGAGGAAATAACCTGGCTCTGTCTTTCATTTTATTGAGTTTTAATTTTAAGCGAAAGCTTCATCTACAGCCTTTATTCTCTAATGCTTCATGAAGCGGAACTAAAACAACAGCGAGTGTTGTAAAAGCAGTCACAATCATCGATAACCAGCAAATTTCTCAAATTATTGGAACCGTCTGTTTAACGAGAAGGAGCGAAGTTGACCTCGAAATATTTCCTGGAATTTCATTAAAAATTTATCCATAAACAATCACGGGCAATTGGCATCAACGATGTTTCCATATTACTCAGATAATCGCGTATATCTAAGCTTAAGTGGATGAAGTATCATTAGTTAGCAGCTGTACTGTGTTGCATCGGTGTCTTCTCATGGCAGTCTTGGCTGTATTACTTAGAAAGAGAATATCCCTACCGGCCGCACCACTGAGACAGGTTTATGAGATTCAGTCACACGCTCAATTCTCCGCGCTGCTTTCGCCTTGGTGCTTCACCATATTTGTCCGTAATCAAATTCGAATACGTTGAAACCCTACTCATTATCTGTACGCACAACTTTGATTTTAGTTTTTTGACATGGCGTCCGCAGTGACCATGCCGTTCAGATGCTTTCTTCTTTTCTTTTACGAGGTAAGTTCGCATAAACTTCAGTCATATGCATATGTTTGAGTATTACCTAATTTGTAGCTATTGCTAAATGATTTCTCTGCTGTCGTGAGATTTTCTGTTATCATATTTGTAACGCGCTCATGGACCACGCAGTTAAGACTCGCCAGCAAGGTTGTTGAAGACCTCGCCACTAACTCACGGATTAATTTACTTTTACGGACACTAGAGTTAGAGTACCTCGCGAAGTGTTGCTCCAGCGCCGGACGGTCGGCACCTCCTTGTACCCAGCCTCGCGAGGAGACTACCCATACCCTCCGCCCCACCCACACAACCGCTCGCGATAAGTGATTCTACTTCTTGCTCTATCAAACATTGATTAACTCGACTCGTTATGAGCACATGCGATTTTCTCAGCGTATTCATAGATACGAATAGCATAATTCTAGGCAAAATAGAATATTTTATACATCATGATGCAGGCTCTTCTGCTGTAAGTAATCTCAAGTCTCAGCTTTCGGTTTCGAACTTGGATTTTTCGACCTCTAAGACGCGCGTGCAGTTGAGTTCATCAGAACTTGTTCACATACATAAATTTATTACACTGGATGAATCAAGTACTAGTCACCATTTGCATGCGGTTTTGTCGGTGGTTTTTGGAGCAACTCACATGTAGCGGGATATTGTCGCGCCGCTGAATATCAATTACAGGTCGAGGTGTTAGTGGCCATAATTGTACTCTATAGCTAGAGACTAGATGAATGAATGTGCTTGTTGGTATCTAAGTAACCTATATTTGTTAGTTATCTAAATTACATATATCTTTGAATGTTGATAAAATATATAAAATACTAAAAACTGCAATATGTATAGATGTAATGAAAAATATATTTGATGCTACTGAATGTTTTAGCTTGTAGGTACGAAAGTCTAACCGCGAGTTCTAATGATCACCGGAGAGAAATACTTGTGAAAGTAACTTTGATTAGCTCATATGAACGTATGGAGCGAACTTCCCATACTAGCTGCTCGCAGTGGGAACAAAAGGGTAAACGTCCAATTAAAAAAAAAATAGTTTACTCTGCGCTTCACTTTGTCCGCAGTTCATCGAAACGTGAATAAATGCGAGCTCTGCAGCGCATTTCGTTGCAACAACAATGTAAGGAAGTGGAGAGCATCCTGCTATAGCGAGGGCTCAATGATGCCTCGTTACAATGATATTCTCTTTGAGGATGAGGTTGACGAATATAGATTTGGGGCGTTGTGCTTTACATGTGATTGTATTCTCTTCATTGGTTAAGAAATAAACGAGACGGTTGGGTTGGATGGATCGAAGATTAATCTCACGAGAAGGCTCTAGTAGATTTTCTTGTCCACCCAATGCACTACCAGTGATAGTCTAAGTTCTAAACTATCTTCCAAATTAAGCACAAGGCAACGCTGACCAGCCTAGCACCCATAACAACCAGCATGTTACCCCAGGGCATGTTATTGAAACCTTTAGTAAATCAATGACCACTTTCTAAACGCTATCCAATTCCCTCGTTTAGGATGAAGACAATATACATCACATACTGGCGCATCTGTATGTACTCTATACGAATATTTTTTAACCCTCTATATGTCTATAGCCGAGTTGAACTTACAAAAACTAAGTTCGACAATCACTTCAACTGTTTTATTCTTTTTGAGACGACACTGAGGTGCGATACTGTCATACAATGACTACATTTATTGTTACTATTATCCTCACTTACAAGTTACTTTAGATTGCCTTCAGAACATTCTCCTTCAACCTAGACAGACACAATTACCGCAAGCTATATGAACCATCCTTATTGGACGCATCAGGATAATTCGTATATATTCCTGTATCATCAATAACAGACCTTCAAATATACGATTCGGTGGACAGCCAAAGTGTTTCGAATATCCCAAATCGGCATCACCCGTTAACCGTGCTTCTGTTCTGTGACCAGTTCACTTAAACAATAAATATTCAGCTTTTTCGCCAGAATGCCTTTCCTGGAGCAAGGAATTTGGGATCATTATTATCAGCCAAGGTCAAAATTGCCCAAATTTAATGTGCGAGTTTAATATTTCAAAAAACGGCATAGTGGCCAAGTCTGCGGATACTAACAAAACTGGAAAGCATAAATATTATATTAACATTGATAGAAGAAAAAAATTTATCGGCCTTCCTTGAATGAATTATTGTTTCGCTCTTTTAAATGGAAAAAAATTTTTTTGGTAGATGAGCGAAGGATGCATTTAAAAAACATCAACTGACGACCATAAACTGGCCTCAAGATGACAGCAACAGAAAATAGGCCAACAGATAATTACTGTCAACAATCTTTCTAGCTGAACTGCTACAATGAATCAACATGGAATAGCGCAGACCATTGCTGCCTCGCTGACGTACATTTTAAAGTTCTCGAGTTTAACATTCAATGCAAATTTCGTCACCTGATTTGTTACGGAAGTTCTGAATTATTAGAATAAAACAGACGTACTGAATTTGTAATCAACGCACCCTGAATAATTTTACCAAGATGGATACCCGTTGGCAACATTTGAATTCCTGCTTCAACCCAGAAAACTTGCTTCAAAATTCAAGATCATTAACAGATTATGAAAAAAAAATTCACAATATACGAAATACTAGACGGAAAATTTTGAGAAACCGATGTTGATAATAGCAAGCAATTCTATACACGTCTTGCTTATAAAAATTAGACGCAAACCTAAGCCCAGTAACTGTTGCTTCCAGAGGCGTACGACTTGGCAGCTCCAGCCGTATCGGATGCATAGGGCTCCGTCCCACCGTACGCGGAGGCAGCGGCCGTTGCGCCGGAGGTACTACCGAGACCTGAAATTGCGTTGCGCGGGTTTATGCTCCCCGTCCAGTCGTAGCCTGGGTTGTAATTTATTCCAATACCTGGGTTGAAACTAGGACCGGAACTTGCGTTGAAACTCGGCCCAGGACCCGAGTTGTAACTCGGCGCAGGACCCGAGTCGTAACTCGACCCGGCACCAGAATTGAAAGCTGTCACGGAACCTGCGCTATAATTCGCTTCTTGACCTGCGCCGTAACTCGCCTGGCCATCACCGCTGACGTTGCCTTGGTAGTTACTGTAGCTGCTGCCCGCATCCCAGCCGCCATAACTTCGAAAGTTATTGCTTTCTTTCCCAGCACCACCAAGGGGGGGTAAGGTAAAATTACTACCATCTTGATATGAGTTACCGTCGTTGTAAGCGCCACCAGCTGAATATGCAGCATTGCTCTGTTGGGTGTCAGGGTTCTTGCCACGTCTCTTCTTGTTGTTCCCCTTAGGGACCCAATTCGTGCCTGCAGAATTATCAACCCAGTCTTGCTTGTTGTCAGCAAACCTCCCTCTGCCTGCTCCTCCTCCCCAGTTTTTGTTCCTTGGGCTGGCATTTTTATTCCTGCAGGATAATCCAAAGTTGTTGGGAGGAAAAGCAGAAGAAAGATTATCACCACGAGGATTACCGCGAAAATCTCCGCTATTGTTACCTTGACTATATCCGTTACCGCCCCAGTAAGGATTTCTCCTTTTTGCTTCCTGGTTTTTAGAGGTTAGTTGTTCGAAGTTCTTCCGTTTTTTGGCACGTTTGCTCTCCTCAAAGGTGCTGGGAAGCTGAGGCCCAATCATTGCATTCCCTCGATTTCCTTGGTCGGGCGTGGCAACAGGCATCACGGTTTTCACAACAGGTAGGCCAAAGGCGCCAATGCTGACACTGGTACCAGAGCCTCCAAGATGCGGGGCGTTCCCCATAAGACCTTGACTAAGGCCTTGGTTGTTCTGGTTGAAGGACAACGCAGGGACCGGCATCATGGATTGAGCCTCGATATTCCGCATGAACTGCGTCCGCATGCCCTTCTTCGAGAGCCTAGGATTAGAATTTGCCATAAGAGAATCGGTGACGGTCGGCAAAGATATGGGCAATCGCTTGCCAATAGTTTGGAGACCCTTAGGGATACTGGGACCGGCTATCCCGTCTTCAGGGCGATACAGTTCAACGGTGAGTTGTCTGTTGTAGTAGAACTGCGCGTGGAGCTGAGACACAGCCTGAACTGCGTCAATAGGGTGAGCCATTTCTGTGAAAACGAAATCCTGTCAATTTCCTTGTTTGTACTAAACAAATAAACATGGTCCAGTAAACATAGTGTAATTGACACTATTCAGCCTTAGCGTATAAGAGGGCAAATCACCCGTGTATAATACAGTATCTACGTCTTCTGAAACTATGAGCCTCGAGAAGTAAATAACTCTTCAAGAGATTCTCATTTGGAGAAAACAATGGGATAGAGAAGACCGAATATATAGCGAGATTATAGACTCGAGTAGATCGGTGCGTGTGAAGAAGTAACGACGTAAGAAAAGATAGTTTTGAGAAAGGAAGCACTGACCGACAATGGCCTCTCGCGAAGGTTGGTCCAGTTTAACCCTCATGACGGTGCCAGCCACGCTCAGAAGCTCCCGTACGTTCTCGCGCGTAATGCCCTCACACAGCTGGCGACATGGGCAGTGTTAGCACTTCAGAAACGATGAGAACGCTTCCCCAGCATTACTTTAATTACTGACCTTAGTCCAGGATATGTTACACATTTCATTGATGCGCAACCGTCAGCCACAAAATTAGTTCTTAAACAAGCCTTGTAGCAAAAGCTCTGTATAAATATGCTAAGTTAAACTCAGCCTCGAAGTCGCAAACCACGTTAGATACACCGCAAGCCATCCCAGTTTTGCAACGGATTTAAGCCAAAAGGGCTGTGTGCTTGCAGCCACTGCTCCAGTCAGTATAATCTTCACAGCATCTACACCCCAGCAAGCGCCTACCTGTACACTTACTCCGCCTCTCCACCATGCTGAAGCCAATGAGGTTAGGTTAGGTCCGGAGAAATTTATTTGGGTGAAGAGTCGGGGCAAGTGTGGGGGAAGACGCATGCTGGGGTGTAGATGCCGTGAAGACTATACTAATAATAACAGTCTGGAGCAGTGGCGCCTATTCTATTCATCTTACGCCTATTCTATTCAGCTTACGGCGCCTATTCTCCTAGCACTTCGAATCAACATGGGAAGAACATGAAAGTGATGACGGTTTTGGGCAATGCGGGCCTCTAACATGCAACCCATTTCACTTTCAAAATGATATTCCAACCAGAGTTGCAAGTTAGTTGGCCAGTTAAAATAGAGCAACATCTAAAAATTCCACTTACACGCCGGTTGACATAAAACTTGCATCATAAATGTACAATCCCAACAGGAAGCTTCAAGCAGATATGTAGTCGAAAAAGTTATGCCACTGTCAGATTCATAATTTTCACTACAGGGCCGTTGCCGGCACTTCATAAGTATGGCTTACGATTTAAACCAGGATTAGATGCACGCACCCTTTGAAATAATAGACTAAAAACGACCGGAAGTCTATGGAGTGGCTGCCGTGAAATATTAGCAAAAAATGGCTACTTCAAACTCACACTAGCTCGAATTTGATACTAGTGAATGAGTCCTGTTAAGTTTAAGTTGCACTCAAAACAGAAAAGGGAAGAGATAACCTGTGCAAGCCATGGTGAAATCGTGCATTGAACCCGTCAATCATATTTTTTTCAACAATCGTTCAATTCTTGCAACTCTAAATAGTAATTCAAAAGACTGAATGAAACTCCAAGGTTAAGCATACCTATAACCCCAATTCAATCTACTGATCGACAACATTAATAAGTATAAAGAAGGACCATTAGAAGCAACCCACATTTGACACCCTGACCTCCCTAACGAGAGGCAAGGTGATGTTGAGAGATCTGAGCATCCCTTCGGAGAAGCCATACGTATCCAGATTCGGGGGGACAAAAGGAAGACTTTCATTCCTGTTCTTTTTTTTCTTTCTCCTCTTGTCTGCTATATTGGCAGAGACAGCATCTGATTTCTGCCCTTCTTCTGCAGCCGCATCCACGGCAGTCTTTGCCGCAGCCCGCCGCTCCTGAAGCACGCGTTGGTGGTCGTCGAAATCCTGAGTGCACATGAAAAATTTATTTCCGGACCGAAACCGGATCGTTCACGCACTTAGAACTTTTCTTCGTTTGTAAGGATAGGTGTGCACTGTACAGGATAGTAGTTGAAAATATACTACTTAAATCTACCATAAAAGAATGTTAAGATGTTGATATTAGACAGACACCAAAGGAAATTTAACGGAATTTGATTTGAAAATTTGTGTGCTTTAAAACTCTCATATTAAGTTAATACAAGTTAATATTGAGAGTGGATACCTACCATACTTTTTTGCTGAATTAATAAAAACTACTGTAGGCAAGTCAATTTAAACCTTAGATAGAATAATGAACGACAACGAATGTTGGACACAAAGTAGATGAATCTACAATGACCTATAAGGTTTTCACCAACCTGTTCAGCGCAGAGCTGTCGACCCAGCACGACTAGCTTGTTCACAAATTCTATGCATTTTGTGACAAGTTCCTCAGACTCAAACTCTACTACCATAATGCGGCGTCGCACTCGCGCGAACACAATGCCACCCACTGCACAACCAAATTCCTTATATTATTACGTCTATTGGTGCAGGTACTGTTAAATTTATTCAATCAATCCTAACATTTACTGATTTAAAAATAAAGTTAGAATTTTGTAGCATACAAACATGAGGTTCATCATCTACTACGGTATATATGTATGTGGACTGCACATGGTTTTATCATGTTCTGCGCTATTACCTCGAGGCACGTATCAAAAAATGTGTTAACACACAGAACTAAGTGCATATTCATTCAAAATAAGTAACAAATATTCCGCAATAATCATTTATCATCACCATCGTACAATATTGATATCAAACCTCATTGGTACTTCAAGAAGAAAGTCACTTGCCTTCCTTATTCAGAGCAACAATAATTTTTCTAAGGTCATAGCCATTAGGACTGTTGCTGATAAAGACCCTGTATTGAGGGCCACGAGTTTTGTTGCCTTGATTAATAATATCGTGAATAATGAGATGGTTGATTTCATCGTAAGATTGCAGAAGTTCCTCAGGCTCATCAACAGTATTTAAATCCATCTGGAATTTCAGACTTTCCTTCCCGGAAGCACCAGTTGAATTTTTTTCTGGATCTCCAGGATGAACACTAGGCTCATCTTCTGAAGCTTTAGGTTCAATGATTGGCTCCATTTCTATGTCTTCAGCTTGATTAGTTGACGTTTGCACCGTATTTTCAGGATGATCAGTTGCTTTTACTTCTAATGTTTCAGGTAGTTCAGTTGGTTGTTCTTTCAAAATTTCAGCACTTGTGTCAGGACAGTTTCCTTCAGTCGCAGAATCATTGACCTCTAAAACTTCTTGCTGCGTGGTGTCGACAAAAATGTTGGTAGGTAGTCCTTCATCAGTGTCCTATAAGATGCAAAAATCTTTAAAACCATTTCAAGTTACAGGCAGCGCAGGTCATTGAATTTTTCAACATGGGCTCAGTTTACTAAAAGAATGGCACACACAAGCCAAATGATCGATCTATTCAATACCAGCAAACCAAATTGTTCAGAAAGTACATCGAAGTTGCTTCAGTTTGTCAGATAGTAATTGAAGACTATTGCTGTGGGCCGGGTTAAGAAACCAGCTAATTTTTTTTCTTACTTAGATAATGGTTGATGATGATGGAAGCATGGCAAAATGGAAAATTTTGAATTTGGATTTCTGGATGGTGTGAGTTGCTTGGCCTGGCCAAGCAATCGTGCCATCTTGGAAAGTGACTTCAAAATCTGGTATGTGACCGTACAAAAAATTTTATAGAATTTGCCTGGCCAGAGCAAGGAAACGACCCAAAATGCCCAAAATTTCGAAATTTTTGACTCCGATTTTTCGAGTCCAGCTTTGAAACGGGTGTGAGCCGACGGACTTGGAGTGCCAAAGGCACACGCCCAACAACACGCCGAATAAAAATACGCTTCCTTTCATTTCACAATGATCGAAATTTTCAATTCAGACTAAAAAACAATTGCCATGTTATACTTATTGATCAAATATAATGATCCACTGAGAAGCAAAATGTCATTACTCTATTTTCAAGCACTATTGATTAAAAATTTAGCATTGATCAGCAAGCAACGGATACATAAGTAGCAAGTGTGGTTATTGCATGACAAACCTGAACAGCTGTGATCTTGGAACTGTTGATGCCCATACCATTCATTTGCTCAATGCATTTCTGCGCTGCCTCCACTGAGTCAAACTCAATGACGGGCTTGGGCCTCACAAGCCGAGCAAATGATACGGAACCAACTGTAATAAGTTTCAAATCATAGATTTTACCAGCAAAAAAGAACTAATATAGGCAACAATCAACAAAAAATCGGACATCAATTTACACCAATTACAAATACAGCAATGAATAACATTCAATTCAACACGTAAATAATGTTAATTCGCCTACATTGCAGTAAAAATAACTAGGAGCAATAAAAAACATCAATATTACTAAAAAATTAAACTCGGAATCAATAAGTATAGAAATCATCACTCACTTGTGGTGTTGATAAACAAAACCAAAGCCTTGAGATCAAAGATTCGAGGAATATCGCCAAAACACACTCTGTACTCAGGTCCCTTTGTTTTTTCCATCAACTTGCGAGCACTCCAGATGAACAAGTGATTGATATCATCAATGACAGCAAGGTGATGGTCCAAGTCTTTAGTCAAAGACTTGAACTGTGAACATATGTTCTCAGAACATTTATCATCTGTCGCGATTGTCCCATCTGGACTAGTTGCACAGAAGACCGGCTGCAAGAGAGAAAGTTTGTAATTTACTTAGCTGGTAATGCCATGTGACAAAATAATTATTATTTACATAAATTGGTACAAGTAGTTAGCTACACAAGTCTAAAAATGAATCATTTTATGCTAGTAATTATTTTTTGTGTCACACATTCTAGAAACTACAGTAATAATTTTTTCTAAGACAATAAAATGGAGCCTATAGTAATCAAGATTTCTCTGCACCCATATGTTTGGGCTTTGTGGTACCCTTTAAAGTCCATAACACTAGCTATATCTCAAGTTGATGAATACCTACTCAAATAATTGTGACATTAGAAAAATTCTACTTCATGTCATACAGTTTTGTAAGATTAGAATGAAGAAAAAACTAATCACTTGGCTTCTGACGTCCATGAAGTAAGCCCGCTTCACATCATCACTGGCCCAGTTTATCCCTTTCTTCCTCATTCGCATGAGCTTCTGCCGCCAAAGTTTCTTAGAATCGAAATCTCCTTTAGTTCCTTTGGCAAAGATTACTTGGCATGCCTTGCATTTGGATGGATCAAATACATCATTTTGAAAGCATGGGCTGTGGAGGGCACAAGTTTTGTGCACCTCTGCACGAGCTAAAGTGCTACGGCATCCTGTAATGGAGCACATCTGCTGCTCTGATTCTTGCTTAGGATTGCTTTGGTCGGCTCCTGATGAATCAAGTTGTGTTTTCTTGGAAGGTTTGACTGGAGATGAAAAACCATCAGCTGTGATGATCTGAAAATAATTTTATTTGTAAGATTAATCAAGCATCAACATGACTTGCTTAGAGTTTACTAATGCCTAGAAATGAAACCTTTGTTGTAAATAAAATAAAAATTCATGGGTTGCTTGCCTCAACAAGGATTTGAGTCTTAAAGGGAAAAATTATTGCACTTGAAATCTATGTCCCAAAAAAATAGTTTATTGAGACTAGAACAACCATTTCCAAATAATTATCAGGTTAAAAATCATGAACATAAATACTCATGAACATTGTCAGCAACAATCAAGGTTTGGTAGGTATATGTTTGGAGAAAGAGTGAAATGGAGGAATTTGATAATAACTGAGAAATAAAAATTTCAATTCTTCCACTGACAAACTAAGGGGCAGTTTGTTAGTTTAATGGTCAAATGTTTACTAGCACTTCAGCTATTTAGCTATCTTGCACTGAAAGTGAAGATAAACATCACCAACAAGGTGAAAAGTCTCAGTTATTGAAAGTTTCTTAAATAAAAAAAATCATTCATCACACATAAGAGGCAGGAAGGTCTCAATTGTCCAGTCTGCTAAAGCTGGCTCAAAAGAAGCAGTGTAAGCATCTCAAAAAGACCAAAGTGTCAATGAGGGACAGGTGAACAGCAACAGAAACTAAGACACTAGAACAAGAGGTCGCTTAGACCTCTTGCAACAATATTTGATTCAGCTGCCCGCACAAGAGAGACAGAGACGGGAAATGTAAGGAATTCTTCCTACATAATAACTTAACCCCACAACTGAGACCAACGGTCAGACACCGCAAGCTCAGTGGTGGGCGCTCAAGAACAATCCCCCTAGGAGCGCGAAACCCCATGGGACTTCTGACAAGCACAGACACTTGTCAGAAGTCTCCCCCCTGAGGGGGGGGGGGCAAACTTAGAGGCAATTGGTCTAATGAATCAAATATTGTCACATTTATTTTTACTGGAGTCAAACCTCAACTAATATATGCTTAGTTAATGAATGAATCAAACCTCAACGCAAATGCTTAGCATGAAAAAAATTATTGTTACATTACCTTGATAACTGTGATTTTTTGCCCTTGAATGACGTTTCCATTGAGTGAGAGGATGATGGACAATGCTGCAAGAGCTGGTCTAACCAAAACTTCACACCGACCAGCAATCACATCAGTTATTTTATCCACTACCAGCCCTTCGAAGGTAACTGAAAGAGATTTAATTTATTTGTACAATTTCCTCTTTGAACATTATGGTATATATCAGTAAGTTATAAAATAAAAGCATGATCAATAGAGCCTTGGCAATCAAAACCATACATCAAATACATGTAATTCATTAAAAAATTTTAATGGTTCTCAGACTTGATGCTTGCAAATATACCATAGCATATACAAATTTATTTCAAGGCTCTAGCCTTCAGGCACATTTCACCTTTCAAAGCCAATACGTATGTGCAAATAGGATTAGATTATTGTTAGCATGTATCATCTAATCACAATGCGTTTTATGATTAAATTATGCATTAAGTCTTATATTGGCTCAGTTTATTGTCATTCAAAAAAGCAGTTGTAAACATTACCTAATGTTTACGATAAATTGTATGCATACCTTTTGATTCAATTAATGACTTGATGTCATCGGGTGAATAATCTGTTGGCAGATTGCGGAAAACAAGACGAGACCCAAGATATGATGCATTATCATCAATTTCAGTTTTCAAGTCATCAGCCATTGCAAGATCTGGAGCAGGTGTTTGTGCAGCAGAGGATGCTGCTGCAGTGGCAAGATCATCACAACCAATGACACTGTAGGAAAAATTTCATGAAGCACACAAACTTAGTTAGAAGTTTCATGAGTGAACATAATCTTTGAGCATGAGCAAGAAACTTACAAAAGTGATACATAATTTGCAAAAACGTAAGCTAAAAATAATTTGTTTGCAGTGAAATAAATTCATAATAGCTATAAATGCAGTCAAAAAAGGATTGCTTACGCTACCTACCATTATGTGCTTCCTCTCATAGATTGGGCAACAAAAAGTAGTTTTTTTCAGCTAAAAATTAGATCTAGCAAGCCAATTATATATAGGTATACCTGACGGCACACAAATCGCCCAAAATGATAATTTTTCCTACAATTTTGTTTAACTCTGCCACATATTCCAGACTGGAAGCGCTAATATCATTTACAGATATGATAATTTATAAATAAGAGAGATCCATTTTTACAATGACAAACTGAAGATAAGATTCAAAACTTGTTACAGTTTGAATATTAACTTTCACACATTAGGAAATCCATTCATGGCTTGAAAACTGAAGTAACTGCTTCAAATTTGTTGAATTTATATACCTACCATAAAATGGGGTGACACCAACTTGGACTGTTTTGNATGCGCGGACTCTCTCCAGGCATGTCATTTTCCATTGTACCACTGTAGGTGCAGGCCCTCATTATGGTGTTTATCGCTTGCTAGTAGTCCAAGTTTAGTTTATAAGGAAGTGATACTCTTTTTAAGCTTTAGCGTTCAATAAAGATATAATTAAGTAGTAGAGTGAATCGTTTCAACTGGTGTTTTAATGCTGCTGGTTCAGCCAATAAAGATTTGTGCAATTCCTTCAGGCTTCAGGCCTTAAGCTAGCCCTATCTCAGACATAACTTATCAATTTCTTTGCATTTATTTTTTAGTTTTCTTTATGCAATAACCCATGTTTTGTCTTTTTCTCCCTGGTGTTTTTACAGTTAGAGAACTTGCAATGTGTTGTTCTAATGGCCCACTAGTATTCTGAAGCTTTGCACAGTGGTTGACCTGGTGAGTTCCTCTGTCACCACTTGTTGAGTTAATGATGATTGAGTTGCGACAAACATTATTTTGGCTGATGATCATCAGAGCTTCGTCCATGATTAGCCTCAGTCTGATGGATATATAATACTATTCACCACTTGCTTGATTGATTAATATTTTTGATACTTAAATTGTTTTGATAATGTTATTTAATCTTGCTTTACATTTAAATGCTAGTCAATCAGTTAATGAGTATATTTGTTTATAATGATTGCGCTAATGATGGTTTTTTTCAAGGTTCTTCAATTTACCCTTTTTTATACAAGCTAATTTCTTGTGTTATTTCAGGGTTCTTGGTTTGGGCAAGACACTAAAGTCTGTCACTTATGCACCCCACTTTTCCCTTTTCTTTGTTTACGTTTGTATGCTTCATTTTTTTTTGTGTTTATATTTTCTTGTCAATCACGCTCCGTGTTTCATTTTCCTTCACCCCATGGCTAAACCAAATCAGAGATGAAATGTTGAGCGGAGTCAGATATAGTTGAAACCTCTCCGCCTACAACACAGTGTTGGAATTCAGGGATTTTGTAGGTTTGAATTCTAAAGGTTTTTAAATAAATATGGCAACAGTTTGTGACATCAGTGTGGAATTACAGAGGGGTAATTTATTAACTGGTTAACATAGCAATTCGGAAAGCATGACCTAGAAATCTGGAAAGCCCAGCATACCTACCTGTTGTCCATCATCATCACTGACAAGTCTATGCAAGCTGCCACAGCAGTTTCATTGAAAAAAATAGAGCTTACATCATCACAGTAACAAGGATCCAATCAACACTTGAACGCGTCCAACGTCACAGTCACAAGAATCCAATTAGCATCAGAATGTGTGTGACATCACAGCCACTGGAATCCAATTGGCGTTAGAAAGCTAGAATGGACCGCCCCAAATGCACACAATGCTAGCGCACTGATGCTAATTTAATGCGTAATGCTACACTTCTTATTTAAAGTGCGTAATACAATGATGTAGTTATGTCATTATTGATGGAAATTGCAAAGAATAACATCTTCACTATGTACATTCATTCACAAATACATGAAAAATTGCCTATGATTCAATCCACAAGTACAAAACTGACCATCGATGACCATTGATGCAATAAGCTGAGACATGGAAACTCCTTCCGTTACGATCAGGATTACCAACTTGACGAAAAACAAACAAAGAAGGTAGCAGGCCGCAGGGACACCAACCATCAATATACCTACTCATGCAAAAAAATGATAGATACGAATTCTTCTATATTACAAATATATCAGTAACTGACATTCAGCAGAATGGTTTAATAACCTTCGTAAATTGTAAATGTTATACATGCAGGATCAATCGTGTGCAACAACCAAAGTGGCACAAATGACGGTTAGTGTTTACTGTTTACTTGTTAGTTCTCGTTAGGCAATCGGTGTGCAAGGTAACTGCATTAACTGCAGATAATGCTCCCAAACTTGGAGACGATAATTGAGTGAAAACTTTACGTGGTATATTGTGAGCCTTCTAAAGTTTTAATAATGAAGAAATCACAAGGTTCACAGAATCTAAAGGTTTGAATGCTAAATTTTTTACTTTTGAGTACTCTATTGACTATTGAGTCTATTCTAGTCAGTCAACTGTGAAGTGTCATGTTGTTTGTTGTGCATTGCCTTTTCTTCGAGAAGTTTCTCCAACTGCCGATGAGTTTCTCCTCAATTTGAAAGCTGAGGTAATGAAT